ATGAGCATAAGTCTAAAGAAAGAGTCCATCTCAAAAGACTAGCTTGTTAGGTAGAAGAATCCTTTAAACTTATAAAACTCATTTATCTTGTGAGGTTTCTTGAAGTGAGACTCACGACAGTACCCGTCGTAACTTAAACTTATCTTAATTCTAAATCTTCATCTTAATCTTAACACAAGCCTCCTTATTGGTAACATTCAAGAAAGCATTGGGCTCCTCATAAAACTATAATTCCTCAACCTTTCTACAAACCGCTTCAAAGGCAATTTACCTCTCTTTACCTTCTAACTTGATTCAAGTTTATGAGCTTGATGTTTCCTATAACACATAATTGGGACATTAGACCCTTGTCTTTTTTCTTGATGCTTCTAATCAACCTAAGACTAGATTGATTAGGATCAAAAGTCTTATTTTCCAAAATAACAATCTTGGCAGTAGAATTTCTAATGAAATGGGGATATAAGAAATATGAAGTGCTAGCCTTATATAATAATAACTTCAATGGACCTATTCCTCAATCACTTGGGAACTATAAACATTCTCAGGATGTTTGAAATTAGGGTTGGCAATACAAGCTAGGCTTAATGGGCTACCCATTATAATTCATTTTTACAAGTTTAGGTTTGGAAGGGATTTTTAATATAATAGGGTTTTTTTAACGCCGTTTTAAGCCCTTATTAGCCCTTAAAAAGGGGCTCGGACTTGGGTGGCTTATGTAATACTCTAAAATTTCAAACTTATTTTTCACAAATTAATAGTTTAATAAACCAATTTAATAACATTGAACCCTTACCATGATAGGGAAAGAGTTTTCCTTATAATAAAAACTTTTTGCAAATAATCTACTATCAAAGTATTTATTTTTACTAAGTGCTTCAAGTACACCTTTGTTAAAATTTCAAAACTATGGTTGGGTAACCAACACTTTACAAACCATATTTTTACTATCAATATCAACTCCGGCCCAAAAATACTTTTCCACACACTGGTTACCATACCAATAAAACTACCACATAGGGTTACACTTGATCACAGTATTATTTCACAAATGCCACAAAAAATATACATTCTTAAAACATGCATAATTGCATAATTATATATTTCTATAATCCAATAAGACTATAAGGGGTAGACAGGAGTCTTATGGTTATCAATTAAGCAATATAGATGCAATTCACCAAAATTAGAGTCTACATGCTTTATAAAATATATTTGTCTTAGGTTAGCAAATTATACATTGCACAATCAAAATAAAGAAGCTAAATTAAAAAATGGTGTCTTATGCATTAAATCACGCTTCAGGTACTTCTTTAGTCGAACTTGTTCCTATAAAATTTAATAACAATAAGGAATGAGACTTAAGAGTCTTAGTAATCAAGATTAATACATAATAATGCATGTGAGTCAGTTAATCATGCGATTGCAAAGTGGGCATATGATATTCAATCAACTAGACAAAAATAGTTAATGCATAACATCACCTTTTTTTCCTTCCATCTCCATGCTATGAATTGAGTAAGCCAGCCAAAGATAGATTGGACCAAGTTAATAGCAATTTATTGAGTCCAATAAGGGCTTACCATGTGGTAACTTAATTAGAAAAAACCCCTACTAAACAATATTCAGTACACTCTGAGAACTTATGCATTTATATAACCAGGTAAAATTAGTATCAACCAAATAAAAAACACAACTAGACAATTTATCTCTTGCTTTTAGCAGTGTCAATATTTACAATATATATATATATATATATAAATCAAACTCACTTGGTAATTATTTTCAAACAAATATATATATATATATATATTATTATTTCTTAACAAAATCAAGATATTCTGAACAACAAAACAAACACACAATTAACCACACACACACTATACCACACATTAATAATAATTATCTTGTATCTTGGACAACAAATTTCCCTTTTGTTAATGCTATGCTCATAGGACTTTGATCTCTCCTCTCCCTGCTCTCTAGACACCAAAAACATTCAGGGATTTGATAAGTTATGACCTTATATAATATCAAGTGAGGAGTTAGGTGAGGAATTAGGTGAGGCACATGTGTCACCTAATCTCCTTTTTTATGTTACAACTCTTCCCTCCTAATAGAAATTTTATCATCAAAATTCAATTACTTTAGAAACCAAACAAACAAAACCTACTTATTGGAATAGGTGTGAGTATTGCTACTTCATTTTGTCCTTGATCTCCCATATAACATCCTCAAGAGTTATACTCTTCCAAACCACCTTAGCCATCGAATGGTCTTGTTCCTCAGTTGTTTATCCTTAGTATCCACAATCCACTCTGGTTCGATCTGATAAGTCAAATTCTCTCTTAGCTCGACATCCTTAACTTCAATGATGTGAGACGGATCGAGTTGGTATTTTTTTAGCTGAGATACATGGAACATGTTGTGCACACCAACCAAGTGTAGTGGTAAGGCAATCTTATAGGAATAGGAGTTAGAACTCAAAGAACTCAAAGTAGGAGATCATGTATTTTTGAGAGTTTCTTTAGTGATAAGCATCGATAGAACCCTTAAGGCAAAGAAGTTTATGCCTAGATTTATGAGCCCCTGTGAGATTCTAGAGGAAATTGGATAGTAGCCTTTAGGATTGCCCTACCACCATACTTGGCTAGTATGCACAATGTGTTGTATATATATCAGTTGAAAAAATACAAACCTGGTCCATCTCACATTATTGAAGTTGAGCATGTCTAATAAAGAGAGAATTTGACTTATCGAACTAAACCAAATGGATTGTGGATACTAAGGACAAACAACTGAAGAACAAGACTATTTGATAGGTTAAGGTAGTTTAGAGGGGTATGACTCTCGAGGATTCCACGTGAAAGATCAAGGACAAGATAAAACAGTAGTACCCATGCCTATTCCAATAGGTAGGTTTTGTGTTTTTCTTTGTAGAGTGATTGAATTTTGACGACAAAATTTTCATTAGGAGGGGAGAGTTGTAACATTTAAAAAGAACAAGAAGGGGATTAGGTGACATATGCATCTCATCTAATTCCTCACATAATTCCTCATCTAATTCTCACCTAATGCTATATAATATGATAACTTGTCAAACCCCCAAGCATTTTGGAATCCAGAAAGAAGGGAGAGAAGAGATCAAAGTTGTGAGAGCACAATACCAACGGAAGGAGAATTTGCTATTTAAGACAAAAGGTAACAATTGTGATTAGAGCACAACTCTGATCTCTCCTCTCCCTTCTCTCTGGATGCCGAGAGTGTTTGGGGGTTTGACAAGTTATCATCTTATTAGTATTAGGTGAGGAATTAGGTAAAGAGTTAGGTAAGAAAGTAGGTGAGGCACGTATCACCTAATCCCCTTGTGTTTTTTTTTTTGAATGTTATAGCCTCATTTTTATTTTACATTTAAAAATAAAATATTTAAAATTTTAAATTAAATTTAGATTTTAGAATATATTTTTATATAGTAAAATTAAAATTTTTACTGCTTATTTTTAATTTTTGAATATTATAATTTATATTTTAAAAAAACAATATAAAGTATAATATTATAATGTAAACCTTAAATTTTTAAAAATGTAAAAGAATCTTAAAATAAAAAATACTTATGGCCTGGTGATAAATGATAATTTTATATATTTTTATCTTTTCAATTTAGACTTTTAAATATTTATTTGAGGCTAATTAATTTAATTAAATATTATTTAATTTTATTAGCCAATATTTAGTTTTGAGATTTTAACTAACTATATATTTAATTTTAAAATATAAATGATATCTTTAATATTTGTGCACAGTTGCTACTTAATTTTATTTTATTCGTGCAAATTTTTTAGATTCAATTTAGAAGATATTGATAAAGTATATTTTGAATAAAATTTTGTTTAGATTTATTTTGAATTATTTAGTATAATTTTTAATTAGGGTTACTTAGAATAATTTTATCATTGTATTTATTAGCTTTTCTTGGCCGTACGGAATGGCATTACTTTTGTATATATAAAGGTGGAACGCATGCATCATGGAAGGAAGAACCGAGAATGATCACTCTTCATCTTCTGATTCCGTTCTCCAATTCTTTTAGGCGATGGCCTCTCTTTTTTTTCACAGTATACTGTTTGATTTTTAGTTTTATGGAGAGCTAAATTTTTAACATGATCAATCACAAACCATGATCCTAAATTTTAATCAAAGTCTTTAATATTCAAGAAAAATTTTATTTCAGCTTTATTTTAATTTTTTCTTCTTCTCTCTACCTCTGAATTTTATGTTTTAACTGTTATTACTGATTAGAGTAGCTTTATTACATAATTTTTAGGTTATAAATTTTATCTGAGATTTTGCTTGCTATAATCGATTGATATAGTAACATAAGAGTAATTTGGCCTAGCTTTGGTGATTATCCATGCTTTGTTTTGATGTGGCTAACATAAAATAGTTGTTAGGTTGTGAGTTAAGGGAGATTTTAATTAATCTATAACTTAATTTTTTGTTTAATTCTTGAATGATAATTTGAGAAATATATAATAAAACCAGAATAATAAAATTAAATAAAATTAATTTAATTTGTGGATGAGGAAGATTAAATTTAGGTGATTGGGTTGTGATTAATTGCGCTGCTTATTCTTGATAATTTTTTAATTGAATTTCCTCTATTTATTTATTTTTAATTTAGTTTTTAATTTCATCAAAAAAAACCCATTATTTACCTTTGCATAATTATAATTTAAATAATTATTCTATTGATTTTTAGAAAAATGACCTAAGTTGTGCTTTATAGTAAAATTTATTTTTATTAATTTTAATGCTATTTGATAATAATGTCATCTGAGCTTGAGCTTGATAAAATGAAGACTGGTCTTGAAAAGGTAACCAATTTTATACGAACAGAACTTTTGGGCGCGAGCCCATATGAGCGAGCTTGTCCGTTTACTGATTCTAATCTGATTGTGTTTCCACACTAATCATTTGTATGATAATGTACCACAAGAATTTGGAAACTTTTCCTCTGTAGTTATCTTTCATTAGCTCGAAATAACTTCACCGGAAGGTTACCACCAATACAAATGTGTAAAGATGGAAAGCTTGTCAGATTTTGTGCTGCCTACAATAACTTCACTGGTACAATCCCTATAAGCCTAAGAACTGTTCATCCTTATCTATGATTCAGCTTGAACATTATCAACTAACAGGTTATGTAGATCAAGATTTTGGAGTGTATCCCAATCTGACTTGCATCGACATCAGCTACAATAGGATGCAAGGTGAACTTTCTCCTACTTGGGCTGCCTGCAAGAACTTGCAAGATCTTATCATGGCTGGAAACTCAACAGGTGGAAATGTTCCTGGCCAGATCTTTCAATTGAAGCAATTAAACATCTTGACTTGTCTTTCAAGTAGATATCTAGCAATATTCCTCCACAGATTGGAAATGCTTCAAGCTTTGCAAGTTATCATTTTTTTTAAAATCATACCAAATTGGACAATCAGGCTGAATGGACTATCCATTGAAATCATTAACAGCTTAGTTTTAACCAAGAAATTATTTTTATGGTTGACCCAGGTTGCACTGGAGTTGAATCGGAACCAGAATAGTTTTTTAAAAACTGATAGTTCTAAACATAATATTAAAAAATAGCTTAAAATTTTTAAAAGCTAGAAAATTTTAAAAAATTAGATCTTATTAAAACCAACTTTATTTGTGGACCCTTCATATGTATATAATATGAGTTGAAACCATTTTTTTAAAAAATATTGACATCTATAAGTGTAAATGTAGATACTTTTGATTCTATTCATACATAATTTAATCAAGATTCACCTATATTTAATAAATTATAAAATTATAATTTATAATATTAATAATTTATAATCTTAGTTGTGTATTTTATTAAAAACCAGACATATTATAGATTTATTTCTTATAAATATATATGTTATAGATATTTAATATTATTTTTATTTAATTTTAATTCTTATAACCGATTTTACTGTGGTATGATCAGTTAGACCATAAAAATCAAGAACCATTGACTTTTCTTGTGCAGCATTCAATTCAGCTTTTAAAACCTCCGTATGAGTAGCAACAGTCTTTCAAGTATATACATAAAAGCATTGGAAAGCTTTCTAATTTGGAGTCTTTAGACTTATCAATGAACAAGCTAAGGGGACCTATTCCTTATCAACGAGGTGATTGCTACAAGTTATGGAATTTAAAGTTGAGCAACAATGACTTCGCTTGCAAAAAGTCCCATGCCAAATTGGAAATGTTCTGTTCTTACAAGACTTTTTGGAGACTTGAGTTATAATTCACTTTTGGAGAAATCCCCATGGATCTCATTGAACTCAATAATTTCATAAACTTGAGTATGTCTCACAATAATTTGTCAGGTCCTATTCTAGTGGCTGATGCACATACAAATGAGGGTGGGCAACTTGAAAAAAATTACAAGGAGTAGGTGGAACTTTTAAAAATTTGCCCCAATTGTCTTAATAGTTTTGAACCCACTAAATCTTAACTAAAATAAGTTCTAGTTCAAAAAAAAATTTAGTCATTTATATTTCACTTAAACCCAATAGATTTTAAATTTTGAATTTATTATATATAAAATTAAATTATTTGTATAATATCATTTTAATTTTTATTTTCTAACATTATTTTATGAAACTAAATATTTATTATATATATATATATTAAATTAATAACAAGAATTTATGTGGGAGGATCCATGGTTTGAAACCTTGTAATATTCTCTACTAGAAAACCAAAATGGTGGAGGTAACAAACAAAATATGGTGATAGTTGTTGCAACTTCTTTGGTAGGTGCACTGGGATTTTTTGTTGGGTGTATTTGGGACTTTTGTTGTTTGCAATGAGAAAACTCCAGAACGTTTGTATCCAAAAAAACAAAAAAAAACACTAGGGCCCATAGAGAAAATCCATTCTCAATATGGCACTTTGATGGCAAAATACGTACGATGACATAATTGAAGCAACTGAGCACTAAAAGTTTATAAACTGACACTGCAAGTGGATAAAGTATTTGCCATAAAAAAGTTTACATGTCAAACATGTGACTTTGGGCTTGTTTGTTTAAAGTTAAAAAATAAATAATTTTTAAATAATTTAAAAAATTTATAAAGATAGATTTATTTTGTAGAAATTTGTATAAAAATCATATATTATTTTATGTTTAGTTATAATAATAAAAAGTAACCATTAGTTAGATATTTTTATATTTTATAATTTCTATCTTTGTTTTATATAGGATTGCCTCTTATAAGAGGCAATAAAAAATATTTGATATTTAATTATTTTTTATATTTTCATGTAGCATCTCCATTTTTTTTATAACATTATCTCTAATCTATTCGAAATATCTTTTCAAAATAATTGGATTTTTTTATTTTTCAGATTCTAATTATTCTTAAAAGTTTAAACAAATAACATAAAATTTCTCAAGATAGATTTAAAAAAAAAATAACTGATTTTTTCATCAAAAAAACTTAAACAACAAGCCATTGACATTCCGAGTATGAAAGCTTTTAGCAGTGAGATCAAAGCTTTGATAGAAACTCGACACCAAAACATTGCGAGTTTGCAAGGATTCTGAACAGAAAGATTACATACATTTTTTATTTGTGAATAGTTGGAAAGAGGGAGCTTAGCTTGTATGGTTAGAGATGATAAAGAAGCCCTTGAGTTGGATTGGCCAAAGAGGGTTAATATTATCAAGGGTGTAACACAAGCTTTATCTACCAATTGCTCACAAAGACATATCAAGCAAAGATGCTTTATTGTCTGCAAATCTTGAAGCCCATGTTTCAGACTCAAGCATCAAGATTGCTGAAGCCTAATTCATCAATTTGGACACAATTTATTGGCACATATGGCTATGCTGCTCCTGGTGAGTTCTATATTGTTAACAAGTCTCGCAAGTTTGTAAATCTTAATCATCAATTTGGTTCTTCTATTTTAATTTTTATTAGTTTTGTCTCTTGAATTTACTTCGGTTATTGATTTAGTTATTATTGTTTAAAAAGAAAGTTATACAGTTGAAATTCACTAACATGGATAATGGAATATTGATGTTAGCCATGTCCATTAAAGAAGATAATATAATGATTTGTGTAGGAAAAACATAGACTCTGAAATTAAAAAAAAAAGAGAATAATACACAATGTAAGAGATTATATTAATAAAAATTAAATTAATTTGAGAGTTAATTTATTCTCAATTAGCTACATATACTCATCAAGTCACTAATATGCTTTATACATTAGATTATTTTGAGAGTAAATTTGTTTTTAAAACTTAAAAAAATCACATGATAATTTAAGAAAACATAAGAATCAAATTGTTAAAAATTAAGCTAGAGAGACCAAATCGATAATTGAAAAAAAATTGAAAGATTAAAAGTTTTATTATCCTTTACATTAATATGATTAGTTTTGAATATTGTACACTTCTAATTGTAAATACTAAATCATCATCACTTCATTTTAGCTTATGTAGAGCTTGCCTACACAATGATACTGATCGTGAAAATTGATGTCTAAAGTTTGGTGTTTTGGCTCTTGAGGTGCTCATGGGAAAGCATTTGTGTGATTTACGGTTTGATTTCTATTCTCATTTATTTTTTTTAAAAACCATTTTATAATACAGTTTTTAAAATTATTTTTTAAAATAAAATAAAAAATAAATAAAAATTCATTTGGCTATATCAATTAAAAAATAATTTTAGAATTAAAAATAAATTAATAGTGATAGTTATAAATAGTTAATAATAGTTATTAATAATAGAAATTAATCAATGTAACTATAATTTTCAATAATTAAATATAGTGTATTTTAAAAATAAGAAAAATAAAACAAAACAACTTAAAATTGTTTCTATTTTTTAAAAAAAAACAAAAAAAAAAATTTTTGAAAGCAACTAAATGAAAAACATTTATTCAAATAAATTTTTAAATTTTTTTATTTTCAAAAACAAAAAAAAAGCTTTTAAAAATAAAAAACAAACAAGCCTAGAGCCTATTTGGTTTCTATTCTTATTTTTTATTTTTAAAAATCATTTTATAATACAGTTTCCAAAATTTGTCTTTCAAAACAAAATAAAAAAAAAATTTTGGTTATATCAATTAAAAATAATTTTAAAATTAAAAAATGAACTGATAGTGATGGTTATAAGCAGTGAATGGTAATGATTAATAATAAAAAATTAGTCAAGATAATTATAATTTTTAACAATTAAATATAACATATTTTAAAAACAAGAAAAATAAAAGTGACTTAAAGTTGTTTCTATTTTTTTGTTTTTAAACACAAAAAAGAATAGTTATAAAAACAATTAAATAAAAAACACTTATTTAAATAAGTTTTAAATTTTTTTTGTTTTCAAAACAAAAACAGTTTTTGAAGGCAGGAAACAAACTGGCCCTTAATATCTCTTCCTCAAACAAATGGGACTCACCAGATGAACTTACAAGATAATTTAGACTCTCGTTTATCATCAACAAAGAAACAGGACTTGAAGAAATTGGTTTTTCATCTGGCATCTAGCTCTTTAGTGCTAACAAACCAACCCTCAATCTGGACCAACCATGCAAAATGTGGCCCAAAGGATTGAAATAGAGACTACTCAAGAGACATGATTGATGTATGTTTTTAAGCACATGTTATAGACTCTTCTGTGATATACATATATAAAGGGTTATTAAGCAAATTGGCTCATGAAGTTTAAGTTCAGAAGTATTTGTGATCACAAACTCTTCTTTAGTATCATGTTTCTCTTCAACTTTGAAAATAGTACAATTTCACTCTTATCATTAACAATAATTAACTTTAACCGTTAATTGATTAGAAAATAACATAAAAGAATATCAAAAAATACAAAAAAAAAAACTAATAAAATTTTCTTGATTCTTTTCTGTAATTTTTTGGATCATTTAACATAATTTGTGAGGTCTTTTTATGTTATTTTTTAGTAAACTAATGGTTAAAGTTAACTTTTGTTAACGTTATAAGTCAAATTGTACCATTTTCAAAAGTTAAAGGAGAATATGACAACATCTAACAAAAATAAATCACTTACTTTTATACTAAAAAATCCATCCTTTACTTTTCCATCTTTATTTTTCCTCTTCTTTTGCCCTTCTTTACTGTGTATCACTTCACTTTCTCAGTCTGCTGTTCTTTTCTTCCATTTTAGGTGCTGCACATATAGAAACTACATCAGAGAAAAACATTCAGAAAGTGAATCTGCTTACCAGGTCCATTTGCCTCAAGGCGTCCTCATGATTCCAAGACTTCTTTTGCAGAGCTAAAAAACACAATATTTGCAATTTAGAGAGAAAAAGCTTGTCAGCATCTGGTTGGCTCCGATTTAACGAGTCAAGACTAAGTCACATTTAGTGTATCAGGGGTGTGAGTAAGAAATAAGGGCTATTAACTGTATGTCTATATTGATGATGAACTGATGATGATTCTTTATAATTGCATTATTATTTTATAATAGACAAAGTACAACTACTATAATTATAATAACCAAGTCGCCTGAATGAAACAAACTAAATTCTGTTATCTCACATTACAAACAATGGCTGTATACATAAATACACAATTAGTATGGATGGATTCAATAGAAATTAATAGCCTATTCAAAATCTGTCCTATTGCTATTCACCCCTGAATGAAACAGGGAAAAACATGAGAAATAGATAGACAACAAAGGTTAAGATTTCACAAACGAGGTCGTTTTCCACACATGCTAATAGAGCTAACTTTCATGGGAGTTGCCACAACCAATGGAGATCCTGAAGAGTCACTATCAGCAAATTTGTCATGCATGAATCGAGATTCTACAATTGATTCATCCTTCACAACTATCATATAACAATAACAGCTCTTAAGCCCTTGCTGATTTCTATAACATTCATGAACACTGTTCTTCACCTGCTGAAAACTCCATATCACACTAAACTTACCCGCAGTTGCAACAAGGTGACGCTCCTTTATGCCATTCTCAGTGACCTGAAAGAGAAAAGAAATTACAAATATATGCAGTACTTGCTGCAAGTTTACTCACAAAACTACCCTGTAAATTTAGAACATGTTCAAGCCTGTTGGTCTGCCACATTGCAAGCAGAGTAACAAAGTATCTGATACAAGCTACAAATTTCAACAGATTTGAACTATCTGATTCACTCAATATGCAACATAAGCACAGTACTTACATATTAGACTTTAGGACCCTATCCACAACATTTAGTTCTAAACGTTACTTACTAAGGTGAATCAAATGAATCCCATTAAACATGTGCATACATAATACATTGGACAGGGAAAAAAAGACCAATCAGTGGCAAACTGTTGAGCCGCCGATAGGAGTCAAGCTTGACAGGCTATCATATTAGGCCTATCCTTATAAGTCTGCCCTTAAGAGTTCAAGTTTTGGGTAGCCTTCATCCCTTATAATTTTTTTTTTTGTAAATTTTTTTTATAGTTTACTTAAAGCTTTGAATTAATATAAGAAAATAACACAATTTGTTAAGAACTTATTTTAGTTGATAAAAATGAAGTCACCGATGTTGAAACAATACCACCTAACCACCTCCTCCAAATAAACCTTTCTTTGAAGATCTAATGTTTTATTTATAAATGAAGATTGAGGATAATAATAACTAAAGAATATTTATATTTTAAATATTTAATTAAGGAATTTATAATTTATACACACACACTAGCATAATTAGAAATTTTAATTAAAAAAAGTTATACAGGCTTTTGGGCTCGGCTTGTCAATGAGAACTGGGCTTGAAAAAAGTGTTAATTTTAGAATAAGAGGGCTTGTGGGCTTGAAGATAAATGTTGGGCATATAAATTATAGGTAATTTCCTAGGATTTTTTTATTTTTTATTTTTGATCTGCTATTGGCTAGGATTTTATCGCAACAGTTGCATAATCTAATGATAAAGCAGAAAATAATTACCCAAGAAAAATGGCCACCATGAAACTTATTGTTTATGGCAGCTAGATGTGAATCCTGAGGAGACAACTTCAACAGTCTCGGCATTATTCCCATGAATCCATCTTCTGTTTCCCCATCTTTAGCCGTGTGTAAGTTGCAAATCAGTATCAAATAAGTGTCAGTAGTGCCTAGCACCCACCTGCCATCATAAGTAACATCAACATGGGTGATAGGAGAGCCTAGCCCAGGAAATATAGTCTTTGATTGCCACATTGATGTCTTTGAATACAACCGTATTCTTCCATCAAGAGACCCTACAAATATTGAACCATCTCCAGTAGTTACAAAGCACTGAAAATTTGTTCCTCTAGAGAATAGATAGCCATGGTTCCAATGCAACACTGGAGAATTTTGAACCACTCCTTTCCCGTCGCGCATATCCCATTGACAAAGCATGTTATCAGCTAATCCCAGAAATGTCGAATTGGAAGGATCCAATTGTGATCCCTTGGTATCATTTGTGATATCCCTCATACTGATATCGACTCGATCCTTCTCAAATTTCCATTCATGGACAATCTTAGCAGTCTCGAGATCAAGCTGGTGAAGACTTGAGGCGTGTGGTCTTCCTTTCTTCATTGGACTCATTAGCAGCATATCAGTTTCTGCCCTCATCAATATTGCTTTACTTGCCGCTAATTGGTCTGAATTCGAACTTCCAACCAAATTACTACCATCAAATTTCACAGACACACCATTCCCATAGATCCCACGGCTAAAATTTCGGTAAACTTGAATCCCTTTGTCAGTCACCAAGAAACTATGATCAAGAGCACCCAATGTCAGGCTCACTACTCGCCCATCAGTAGCCTCCTCAAACTCCTCCATGAAGTCCTCGTAAAATCGATTCACCGATGCTTTGGATCTGGATTTGGGGGACGACTTAGCATCGTTATCATTATCATGCTCTTCTTCTTCGCAGTCGTGTTCTGGTCTATCGTCTTCTTCGTAATCAGAGTCGGAGTCATCGAAGCCCTCGCTACTCAGAGAAGCTCCCATCGGCGATGAATTTGTGAGAGAGAGAAGAGAGAGAGAGAGAGAGTGAGAAGATATCGAAATGACTTGGCTTGGCTTTTGATGTTGCATATGCAGTTTCTAATCACATACTTCGGCCTTTTGAGTTAGTTGCTTTTGGCGCTCATGTGAAGGGTGACATTCATAGCTGAACCGCGAAGCTTTGAAAGACGCTCCTCTATATGTATATATATGTTATCATATTTAGTAATGGTCCCACGATCTTATGGACTTCAATAACATGCTTTTATTATGTAAATAAGGAAGGGAAAATAACAGTTAAATCTTAAAAAAAAATAATAACAGTTAAGTCTCAATAAATTTTTTAAAAAATTAATTATAAAAGTTTTAATTGTAAATTTGATACTTAAATTTTAAATATAATAATTAGTTTGTAATTTAAATTTTTATTTATAACTATTTAAATTAATATTTATAATTTATTTTATAACAAATTTGGTCAAAAACTTAATTTTCATTAGTTTATTCTTTTGGAACTTTAATGATATTCTCCCAATAAAGAAACTAAAGGCACTCTTAGTTATTTCATTGGAATAAAAGAGTTATGATTGAGTTATTCATTTTGTCTAGAAAATAAAATTTTAATTTTATTTCTATTAAATAAAAAATTTTAAATTTACATTACATTTTCTTTTTCATAGTTTGTTTTTTATTATCACATTCTTTATCATAGTTAATGAGCTTAAATATGGATAATACAAAAAATGTAATTAACATCCTACCAAATCTTATATAAGGATTTTTTTTTTTTTATAGAAAGCATTCTATAATAAAATCAGGAAGGAGTGTTGGCAGTATGTGAGAAATAAAAGAGAATTTAAGGAAAGGAAGAATCATTTCACATCAGTTTTCACTTAGATGCATATGCATGGAAACATGCACACAATATCTTTAATTAATCCTCTTGTTAAAATTTTATTATAGTCTTTACCTATCGAAGACTGTTATTTCAAGAAATATAATGTATTTATATGGAATATGAAATGTACATAATTTTTCAGAACCCAAGTTCATCTATATTACATCTAAATCTACAATATATTGTAAAAGCTCTCGGATGGATACTATAGATCTATAGTTCCCATCTAGCTTTTTTATTTTTAGTTTTTTATTTGTTATCGGATGGGAATCTTATATGTATTGTAGAATTTTTTTTTTTTTTTACTTTTTAAATTGTTATTGGATGGGTACTATATCTGACTTTTTGCTTTTTACTTTTTTATTCAATAATTTCTTTAATATGATATAATAAAAAAAAGTAAAGAACAGTGTGAGAGCTTTGGTAAAAGAGATACATGTGAGACCTATAAAAAATAAATTATTAATATAAAACTTATAGTAAAAAATGAGTAAAATATTTTGTCTATTTGTATCTTAATCAATGATATCTCGCGACACTTATATAAATATTTTTTAATATAGATAGTTATAAAATACAAGCTTCTCTCCTATTTTTAAGATTTTATTTTCATCCATCTAATCATTAGTTGATGGTTAAGTCATGTGTGTTGGAATAAAATACCTCTGTTTAAATATAAATTTTGTCTAAAAATCACTTAAATTATCAAAAAATTAATTTTTACTATTTAAATGTATTTATTTTGTAACTCTTTTAAAAAAATTAAATATATAAATTGGCCAAAAAAAATTAACAGACACAGTCTATAGACTCAATAAAGAGAAAAAAAAATAATTTTTAATAATTTAGGGTAGTTAAACTATCCTAATAAACTTAAAAGTTAGAGATGTCAATAGTCAGACTCAACTATAAATTTTTATATGTTCAAATATTTTAAATTCAATATAAATTGAGGCTCTAAAGGAAATGAAGAGAATGTAAGATTTTAATAAACTTAATTTTTAAAAAATTGAAGTAGTGTGGTTTAAAAAAGTTTGTGCAGGACCTATTATCAAAAAATGTTATTGGGGATATACATTTATAAATTTTAAAAATTTAAACAAGGTGTAAAAAATAATAAAATTTTTATATTTTGAGAGATCATGTATGATTTATAGTAAATATTGATGGCAAATATAAGATTCTTAGTAAAAATAATAGGTATTAGACATGCAAAGAAATTACCATTGGCTAAAAAATGATTGTGGGACTTATAATTTAACTAATAAAATTTATTCACATTGGATGAAAAATGTGTCATAAATAAATTTTATATTATAAATGTTAAAATTTTATCTCTTATTCCATTAATATTTTTCCTACACATGTGTTTGAAATATTTTTTAATAGACTTACTTCCTTTATTAGGATGTGTTTGATTGGAGATTTTTGGAGGGAAGGGGAGATGCTCCCCTCATTTGGTTAAGAAATTTTGGAAGGGAGAAGATCACCTCCCGTCCCCTCCCCTCATATTGCTCCTCTCCAAATTAGGATTTCTTATTTAGAAGAGAGTTAATTTTTTTTTAAATATTTTGTCCTTATTTAATTTTTAATATTCTAAGAATATTCATAATTAAAATTTTTTTCTTTCATATCAAATTGTGTTTCACTCTCAAATCTCGACTGACTCATTGGATTTTTTTTAAAAAAAGTTACATTTCATTATATTTTATTATATATTTAGTTATTTATTTTTTTTATAAAAATTATTATCATTATAATTATTGGTTTAACTTTTTTTCACACATATTAACAATATAAGAGGATGAGAGTGAATTTTTAAAAAATCATGTAATTTAAATTGAGATGTAAGATTATTTTCAACAAGAAAAATTTTTTTAAAAAATTAAACTAATGTATAAGAATATAATAGTAAATTAGTTATTATCTCTCCTTCTTCCTCTCCTAAACTAAACAAGAATAAATTAAAAATAAAAATTTAAAAGAAGATATTAAAAATGTTATTTTAGTGCGACATATATGACTTAATTGTCAACTAATGATTATATATTTAGTTAGTTATTTTTTATAAAAAATTATTATCATTATAATTATTGGTTTAACTTTTTTCACACATATTAACAATATAAGAGGATGAGAGTGAATTTTTAAAAAATCATGTAATTCAAATTGAGATGTAAGATTATTTTCAACAAGAAAATTTTTTTAAAAAAATTAAACTAATATATAAGAATATAATAGTAAATTAGTTATTATCTCTCCTTCTTCCTCTCCTAAACCAAACAAAGAATAAATTAAAAATAAAAATTTAAAAGAATATATTAAGAATGTTATTTTAGTGCCACATACATGACTTAATTGTCAACTAATAATTAGGTAAATGAAAATGAAAATTTAAAAGTAGAAGACATATTTATATTTTGTAACTCTTAACTATTAATTTTAAGAGGAATTCATATAGATTTTAAAAATAAAAAAATCTTTATAATTAAGATAAAAGAAAAGAAAAGGTAATATATTTTATTTTAAGAATATTAAAATATTTTTAATATTTTTATTCTCGTGAATCTCACGGGTATAAATCTAGTTAGATGCAATGGAAGCATTATTTTTTGTCAAAAAAAAACGTGAAACATTATTCTAGATTCATGAATACGGAAAGAAAATGAAGAGATGATCTATTTCACCAAGGATACAATCAAGAAAAGTCATGTTTCTTACCGTGGAATAGGAGGTAATAGAATGGAAGTGATGATATGAAAAGCTCATTACCTGATAAGAGTGGCTATTTCAATAAAGATTACCTTCCAATATTTTAAAAGCCGAGTTGTACGTTGAATTGAAAAAATCAGCTGTCCTTAGTTTTTACGTGTAGAAGAATTTTACATATTATTGAAAAATAAATTCAATTTTTAATAGGATTTAATTTTTAAATTTTTAAATTTTTTAAGATTTTTTTGATATTATGTTTAAAACAATTTAATTTTTTTGAAAACCACTTCGGTTTCTATTTCAACTCGGAGTTTTTGGTTAACAACATCTTAATTTTAATCCAATTCGGCTTATCTATGAAAATAGTTTTTTTTGTTTGTTCAAACCATGCTATTAATGACTTTGGTCGATAATCCAATCGGTTTGACTATTTAATTGAATTTGGCTTTTAAATCATTGCTTTATTCCATCACTAGATCACGGGAAAGGATTTTTTGGTGACCAAATTGTTGGTGTGATTTTTTGAAATTCCAATTTTATCCAAATTCCCAATCTATCTCCCTCACCCTCCGCCACTCGCACTTTGTCTCACTATCACTGTTTTTTTTTTTTTTTTTTTGGCTAGCACCGTTTGCATTCTACGCTCATCTCTCAAGCCCTCCATTCCTCATCTCCATCGTGGCTCTCTGTCAACCTCTCTCACTGTTATCGAGTTTTTGGGTTCATGGTTTTGGTGAGAATTTTACCTTGGATCTCTTTTGTAACAAAATAGATATGATTATTGAGCAACTTGATAACATAATTTATTCATAATTTGATGAACTTACTCAATATTTTTTATAAATTTTTTTCTTTAATTTTTTGATATTTGTAATAATTTTTTAAGTCAATTAATAATCAAATCAATATGAGGAAATAAAATTTTGAATCTTTGCATTTAGCTTGCATTTTGCTATAGATCTTTATATTTTTTCTTTATGTTCTTGGTCCTTACATTTTTGTTTTTTGATATTCTAAGTTTTTTCATAAACAAAATATAAAGATCTTGCAGAAACCTGGAACATCGAAAAACAAAAGTGAAAGGAATAAGAACATTAAAAAAAGTGCACAGATCTATAATAAAATACGAGTAAAGTATAAAGACTGAATTAATGTTTTCCCAATTAATTAGGAGATTTTTAGATTTTTTTATAATTTTTTAAGTTAACTAATTTCTTGCCCTAGCCTTCATTATAAAGTGTATGCGCTTCTTCTTCTTGTTTTTTTTAAGTATAAATATAAATTATAGAACAAATTGCATTCAAAAACCTATAAAAAATATTATTAACAAACAACGATCAATAAAAAATTGTTTATTATTAAAATAAAAATATTAATTTGTTTTTCTTAAACAACGGGTTGTGAATAATTTTTTTTAACAAATACTTAGAATCGATTTTTTCTAAATTATATTTTTAATTCGTTTATTAAAGCCCTTCGTTGGCCATGCTAATCCAAAGTCCAAACTCACCGTTCACTTGAGATAACATTAGTAGCAGAAGCGGAGTATTGTTAGTCCAAACTCCAAATCCCTTTCTTCTCGTTGCCTCTCCATTGATCCATTCTTGTAAGTACCGAAACTCATTTCTTCCTCTTCTATCGTTACGGCTTCCATTTCCAGCTCCAAGTCTCACTGATAACGAAGTCGCGACGCACCCAATCTCTTCTTCCTTGTCGCACAGGTACCCACCCGTTGTTGTGTTGAATTTCTTTTTCTGTTTTGCACAGCCAGAGTCGCATAGGTTTTTAATTGTGTTGTTTTCGGTTAAGTGTTTAAGGGTTTCAATTTCTTCTCTATAAATCTTTGTTCATGTTCGGATTTGATTCCTGATAAATGAAAAGGAAAACGAAGATAAGAAAGTACCAATACTCCCTATTCCCTGCGCTCCCTCGCTCTTTACCTTTGCGATAATAGATGTGGGATACGAGTTTGTTTGTCTTAGAAATCTGAGCATGTTAATCACTTAATAATGTGAGTGGTTGGTTTTCGCATGTAGGTTGCAATTGCTTGTGGTTAATATTCTCCCTGTATATAATACTGTTTAACCTAAGACGACATTAAGTACCATGAGAGTTTGTTACAATGCCAATAAATATTAGATTACCGAAACATTCTGTATATGATTTAAGAATTAGTGCAAATAGTGTAAGATACTATTTCTTAAAAGTCTTTATTTTACATTCAATAACCATCATGTTGAAGGCCGAAGCTTATATTATCTATTTTTACGCTACATATATCACAAGCCTATTATGCTGATTCAGCAAATCTAACTGTGTTATTCCCATAATCAAACATTGTGTGGTAGCGACCCTTGAAAATATCCCCAAGAATCCTGCATTTCAGAATCAACATGACCGAGTTTGAGGCTTAACCTAGGCATCTTATTGTTTAGTGAGGAACAAAGGTAGAATCCCTGAGCAATTCAGCGAGACTTAAGTCGAACAGAATGTCAAATAGAAGATAAAAGCTGTATGATTAAGAAGTCATGATAGTACCATAGAGGCCCTCGACAAGGGGCTATATATAAAGCTGTAAATCCACTAATGCATTGTGCTGCCTCTCCGTCTCCCACTTTCAGAACACACTGATTCATAAAATTGTCCTATTAATCATAGCAGAAACTATGTTGTATGCCAAATGCAAGGGTTTGAAAGTCACGATACCTGGCTTGGTGAGAGGCCAAACAATTTGCCACCAATGGTGAAAGAAATTTTTGGAATGGAAGATAAGCTTCCACATTCAACTGTTGGTTCTCCATTTGGATTGGGAAGCCGATTACAGAGCTGCACATGAAATTGAGTGTTTGAGCTTTTGCTGGGAGGAAGTTTATTTTCTGGGAGACATGAAATTAAGAATGTTTTACTTGACCTCATTGATGTAGTCTAGGATCTGGTCTTCTGTCCCATTTAGTTTCAGCCTATTTTTTAATCCATGTTGCTGTCGTCTCACAGAAAGTGCATCCAGTATTATATGACTTGTTTATTCATTGTGTGAATATGAAGGTCTCTGAACAATTTCAAAGTGTGGGTATATGTATAGGATATGATTTGAAGTAATTCAATTCCACTTCATTTTACACCAGGCATCTCTTTTTTGGTTGTTACTGAATGTGTTTGCTTCTGTTGATAATTTTCTAATAATTCTTTTCTTATTCCATCTTCTTAATTATAGGGGAGATACTGATATGTTGAAAGTGGCCATATTTTATTCTGAAAATTTCAAGGAAAGTAAGTCTTGAGAAATATGCCTGGTATTGATGAGAATGTGTAAAAATGGATAATATTTTAGAGGAATTCTATTTTCTTGCTTTTCATGTTGGAGTGTTGAACTACAAATTGAAAAAGATCTCTACTATCGTTTTTTATTTTCAGTTACCTTTTGCGATCTGTCAAATGTTAATTTAATATCTTATATTGGTTACAAAGTTTTCGCTGTTTCCAGGTAAATATACTTCAGCTGACAGAATTCTAACTTGAAGGCTGGTTACAAGTGCCGATGTGTAATGTATGAATTTCAGTGTGCTTGATCAACATACAGAAAAATGAATAGCATCCAAGTTACTGCATGCCAGCCTGGGATCTATGTCACAAATACATCTCATTGTTACCATCCTTATAAAGCATATGCATTTCCAATTAATACTGGCCCTCTTTCTAGGCTTTCACTTAGCCTAAGAGGAAAACCTTCTTCTGGCTTGCAATGTGTGCCTTTTTCAAAATCACGACAACCTCTTCATGTCTGCTTTGCTGGTGAAAAAGGAATGATGGGAAATAATAGTGAGGTAATGTGTGTTCTCTGTGCTCGGCATTTTGGTATTTGATATTATTATTGCTATGTTTGCTCATGGTTAAGTTGTTTAAGGAAAGTTCTTTGGACTTCTGTCCATCTCCTTTTACTTGGAGCTAAGCCTTTTGTAAGCTGTCTGATGTAGAAACATTTCTTTTGTATTTAGCTTTCATTCTGAAACCCTATACTTCCACTGTGCCTTCCTGTTGTTAATTTAACATGAACTTGGTCTTCATCTTCATGTCCTATTGACATGTATTATGACTGTTTATGCGTGAAGCAAGATAAGTTGAATGTGTTTTGAAACCTGAATTTCTTGCATTTGCTGTAAGTATTATTTATATGAGCAATCAACTTATCTCTTAATTTGCTGTTATTATTATGAACCTCTGCAAATCATTTCTGGGGGATCTTAGCAGAGGGAATTCAGGGTAGCTTAGATTCTTGTAACATTGCTCTCTGGGAATTCTATATTTTAGTTATATATTTTGGTTTGACTATATTCGCATTTTCCAATTATAATGATGCAATTAGGATTCACCATGGAAAGCCCTTGAGAAAGCAATGGAAAAATTTAAGGGGCAGTCAGTGGAGGATGTCCTAAAACGGCAGATTCAACAAGGAGAATATCTTGATGATGGGGGCAGTGGAGCAAAGCCACCACGGGGAGGGAGCGGCGGCGGCAGCGGCGGCAGTGAAGGCCCTGGTGGATCAGAGGAGGAAAGCTTTGGTGGAATGTTGGATGAGACTCTCCAGGCGGCTTTAGCAACTTTTGGCTTTATATTTCTGGTACTCTCTCTCTCCCTGTGGACGTGTTTACACTTTACACCATTATATGTATAAATGAGAGTAATGCAAAACACAAACACACACTCATATTGATTTGAACAGAGTTGGAAAAGAGAGATACAGCAGAAACAGAGTAGGAGATCGAGAACAGAGAGGTAGAGAAAGACAGAATACAGAGAGAGAAGGAAGGACAGAACAGTGGGGGAGCAAGAGAGAATGAATCAGAACGTAGGGAGAGAGAGAACAATCAAAATATCATTTCTAATATTCATTCATCATCCAAAAGTGTCCAGTAGAAGTGATAACTTAGTCTATTTATAGACTAAGCTTTTCTTCCCCTTAAGGAAGCTCAACAACTTGCAAATTTAAAATATATAAAGAGTAAAAGCAAAAGTAAGTCAGATTTCCTTCCTTAGAAGGAAACTTACAAAATACTAAATAATGCAAAAAAACAATTATTTCTTTCTAGAATAACATCTGTCATATTTTCTATCAGAGAGCATCATGGTTTGATTTATACTTAAGCAGGCTTATCTTTTATGGTGTACAAAAATCATCATATAAAAAAGGGGAATTAGCTAATCAGACAAAAAATCACTTATAACATTGGATCTTCTCAGTTACTTAGTTGTTCAAGTGAGGAGAGAGATAGAAATAGGGGTGAATCTCATGTGGGTCATACTCTATCTTTATCCGTCTCCTCACTTGAGCAATCAAGGGAATCCAAATCCTTTTTGTTTTGTCCCCCCCCCCCCCCCCCGGGCGGGAAAAGGAAGGGAATCCAAATCCTTAATAGCCTTAAAATGGTTGATTTTTATATTCATATGCAAACTGTTGACCCTTACATGTGATGAAACTGATCCCCTGTAGTACCTATCTCCCTCAATTGCTCTAATTCAGTATAAAAGCTAAAATATTAATGTCATTTTTCATGTTTTTCTTTTATTTGTAACAAATTTATCTCTCCCCAATATACCGCAATTGAGCCATTGAGGGAGATAAGCGCGGCAAGGTTCCAAATCCCTTACACATGATTCCTAGGGTTATTATTAATTTATACTCCCTCCAGTCCAAAATGCAAGCCGTTTCTCCCAGCTAATTTGAGTCCAAAATGTAAGCAACTTTGTAGTTGTAGAAACCCCCCCCCCCCCAACATTTTACCCATTGTATTTATTAATCTGGATTCTTGTGTGAATTTATGACCTTAGTCTCACTCATCATTGGTAATTGAGACTACGGATGAAAAGGGAAAATAATGTATATTTTCATGTGAAATAAGGATTTTATTGGTATGTGGATTATTGTTGAAAATTGCTTATATTTTGGATCAGAGGGAGTGTCATATTGCAATGTCTCGATTACTAACTTCAAAATTGTTCATTTTTCCTAGTATATCTATATCCTAACTGGTGAAGAACTGGCAAAGCTAGCTAGGGACTACATCAGATATATGTTTACTGGCAAACAAAGTGTTCGGTTAAAGCGTGCAATGTCTCAATGGGGGCAATACTACCTCAATATAACAGAGAAGCAGGTGGTTGACAAGTATTGTCTGGAGAAAGCCATTCTCAATACTCCCACTTGGTGGAATGATCCTGAAGATTACCGCGAAGTCGTTATGAATTACTTGGAGTCAAATAATTCAGATGAGTAAATTTTCTACAGTTTTTCTTTTTTTGGACCATCTTGTGTTTCATTTTAAATTTCATTTTCTCTAGATATGGATGAAGCTAAAGAGGTGAGTTAGGTTGAATTTATATGGACTTTTTGGTGTAATTGAATAGTTGCTGTTGAAGCCATTCAAAGCGCATATGCTATTATGATGTATTTTCAATATTTGAAAATCACCTGTTTATTTAGTTGCAGTTTTTGGCGTTAGACACTTAGACAGTAGTGAGGATCCAAAGAATTTGGTGACAAATTACTGAGCTGGATGAATGAATAGGTGTATGTAATGTGTGATCCACATAATGACATAGAATAAAAAAAGATTAAAAAGATTTTGTGAATATACACACACACACAATATCTTATAGCCTTGAATAAGAAAACTACAGTGGAAATTAATAAAATGGTGCCTACAGTGCAGATTATAGGGACCAATTTATTAAGTTTCCGACAAAAAAAAAAGTGCTATATCATGTCTTTCGTGCATCTCATTGAGCTCTATGTAGTTGGGTGTTCTATTTAAGTTTTTTTTTTTTTTGGTTAATTTAGAGGGGCACTTGCAGCTTGTAGTCACAACTCTGATAGAATTGCGCGCTCTCATTTTTTTTTTGGCTTGATGATCTCCTATTTATTTTTTTGGCTTGTAATTATAAGGAAACTTACATGTAATTAGATTACAAGATTATTGGCCCTATTTATAAATAATAATAGGAATGTAATATTATATATCGATTTATTTCTTGAAAAGAAAGGAAAAATCGTTTCCTTGTTTTAATCAGAGGAGACATGATAATTACCTTTGGTACGGGAGATGAATTGTCTACATAGATATGTGTTCCCTCATTTCTTTTATTTAGAAAGGATAATTGGCATCCATAATGTTGTTTCGATAAAAGAATTTGGTAAACTGTTCAATAGAAACAGAATAAAGGAACAAAATATTATAACATGTATCTTCTCTTGTGATTGAAAGCATGGACAATCTCGAATAAGGCTAAAAGATTTTAGAACTGAGTTTGGGCTGGGTTGATTATATGACTTCTCTGCATGTTTGTATATTTTAAATACGATCTAAATAATCTCATCTTGAATTGAACTCTACCCGTTTGAATTATTAACTCTAGTTGAAAAAAAAGAGAAAATGATAAATTTTACTTGACATTTGAGTTTCTATTCATTCATTGGGAGAATGACAAAAAATATTTTCAAAATATGTAAATGATAATTAAGTACAGTAAAATATGATAATTATTTTTTAGTTTTTGAAAACTTGTCTATCAATTAGTTTTAATGTGAAAAGATTTTGTTACCTTTTTGGAAAAAATTTGTAAAGAATAATTTGTAATTTTTTTCAGCATAAAGAACAACTAATAATTTACTATTCCAAGTATAAAAAAAAAGTAATTTCTTATTCCATTCAAAACATTTTTCCAGGAAAACTAGTCTTCCTTAAAAGAAAATAGTGACTGATTTTTAGTCATTAGACTTTATTGAAAAAAAAATGCACAAAGCAACTTGTAATTTGTCATTTTGTTTTAGTTATTTTCCAAAATAATTAGTCATTTCTTAAAAAAAAAGTAATTGATTTTTAATTGTCGGATTTTACTGATAATTTTTTTTTTGTATTGAGAAATTTGTAATTTTCTATTCCATTCTAGTCATTTTTCAACAAAAAAAATTATCATTTTATTTAAAAAAGTAGTAACTGATTTTTAATTTTTTACTTTACTCTAAATTTTAAAATATGAGCAAATGTGTCATTTCATAAAAATGAAAATGTCAGACAAGTCTTTAGAGATTAGAAAATTATCATATTTCACAGTACATAATTATCATCTATATATTTTGATAGTATTTTTCTGTTATTTTCCCTTCATTCATTCTTTGAATTCTCTAATCAATTGAAGAAATTCATATTCCTAGACGACTATGAATAATCGTGCATAGATTGTCAAAATAAAGGACATGCCTTCCGCTTTTAGAGACACTCAAACTATATTATTTTGTCGATATTTGAAACGTGCACCAGTTTCTTTTTAATTATTATTGTTTTGCCAGAAATTTAATTATGCAAAATTTAATTATTAGAAGATATGGAGACATATTTAACAATATTTTTTACACAAAAAAATCTGTTTATTCAGATTTATAAAATAATTATTATATGATTCAATCATAAGCATGTGCTAGGCGGACGAATCACTTTGAGAGGCGTGAATTAGTTCTTTACCAAATTTTTAGACTAAGAAAAAAGATAAATAATACTAGAAACTCGAGACTTCTTTAACTTTAGTCTCAGTTTTCAATTAAAAAAAAAACTATTTTACAAATGAATTTTTTAAATTTATTTTTTATAAAAAAATTGTTTGATTTTATTAACTTAAAAAACAATTTAAAAGTTGTAAAAATTCATTTAAAACAATCTTTTTCAAACATGTTTTTTTTTTTTTGCCATCAATCACCATTTATCACTTACCATCGCAGTCTCTTATTGCTCCATGATTGTTGTAATTGGTCATTATTGACCATCACCACTGGTTACCTTTGACCGCCATTCCATACAAACCATTACTATTAGCAAATAGTGATAGTTCAGTGATTGATGAGGGTGACCTTTGGTGTTGGTTGAGTAAGACTAATGGTGGCTAATAGTAGGATGACAATGGCCAATAGTCATAGCAAATAGCAGCTGATAGTGGAGACTATTAATGTTGGTAGTAGTAGTTAGCAGTAGTAATTAAAAATGATTGATGATGATAGCTAATAATGATATCTAGTGATGGCTGTTGGTAGTGATTGATGATAATGACAAATGGTCATTAGTAATTAGTTGGTGGTGGTTACAATTGTTTAACTAGTAGCAATTAATAATAGCAACTAGTGATGATAGATGGCAATCAATAGTGGTGACCAACAATAATCGCCAATTATAACAATTAGTGGGAATCGATGATGACCAGTTGACCACTAATGACAAGTAAAGGTGGGTAATAATAGGTAATGACTAAAGACATTAGTTATTGGTTTTGGTGAGTGCATTAATGTTGCTTAAGACTACAAATAATTAACAAAGACTTTGTAGGTCAGACCTTTAGGAAGAAGATTATGTAAAAAAACATTAAGGCTAGTTCACTTTAAGTAACTCACTTAGTGAGATGGCTCAACTTTCAACCTGAACAAATTTTGCTGAGTTTCTCGAAAAAGCAAACTGCAAACAACAAAACTTACCTTATAATGAAGCTTTTTGTTCATCCTAGTTGATAATTGAATAGACAGGTTGGTTCTTTAAGATCATTGTTGCAAAAAGATAGGAAGAGAGACTTTCCAAATTTCAGTAAATGATTTGCATGTGAACGTTTTTCTTTTCCCAATAACTTAGTCATTTCAGGCCCAAAAAAAAAAAAAAAAACTAAGTCATTGATTTAACATAAGATTTTCAATAGGAAGTTGTAACTCACTCTTCTTGCCATTAGACAGGCATCGGCTTTTCTTTGTCATCGGCTGGCATAAAAAAATTATCTAATTGTATTGTTTTCATTTGAAAAAAAAATTGTATTGCCTTCATAAGAAAATAATTATTATGTTAAATATTTTAAACTATTTTTTTCTTAACTCCTTCAATGCAGACATTAATGAGGGAAAAATAAGACTAATATTTTTTTTAAATCTCTTTTTTTCATAACAAATAATTAGTGGGACATCAAAATTAGACAATTGTGTTAAAAATTGATATATTTTAGCGTGTGTATTAAACTTAATTGTAGATCGACACACAAGTAATAAGAACATATATTTCCTTGTGTTTTATTAATGCATTCAACTTAAGCATGTGAATTAAAGTGAAATTATGGAAGATTAGGAGATTGGATTAGTTGTAGTAGGTTTCCTAGGAATTCTTGAAGTAAAAAAAATCTAACTTAGGACACTTCCAAAGTGTTGGGAAAGTATTAAAGTACAAAAAATGTGCATTTAAGAGGTGATTGAGTGAATAACTTACAACCTAACATGAATTAACTCAAATTAAATGCATGGAATAAAATAAAAAAATAAAACTAATTAATGATGAAGCTTTCAATTTTTCAGAAATTATTTTTCAAAATTACATTTTTGCCCCCATGCTTTTAAAAATCACAATTCTGCCCCAAAAGTTCCACAAATTACAGAATTGAGCCAAATGATCAAAAAAGGTCTATTAAGCTCAAAATGCCCCTAAAGAGTGTTGAAAGCTAGGAAAACAAATGTAAAAATGATATAAATAATAAATATTTATCATGACAACAACTAATGGTGATAACTAGTGATGATGGGTGGCGATCAATAGTGGTGACTAATAATAATAATTAATAGTAGTAATCAATTGTGATAATTAGTTAGAATCAACAATGACCATTAGTGAGTCGGTGACGGGTGGAGGATAGTGGAGGTGGGTGACAATAAGTGGTGGCAATAGGCACTAGTGATGATAAGTGCTTTAACATCAAAACTAGTTCAGTTGACGTAGTTCACATGGTCATCAGATGGCTCAACTTTCAACCTAAACAAATTCTGCAGAGTGTCGTACACAAGTAACAACGACCAAATTACACAGAACAAAACTTACCTCATAATGAAGCTTTGCGTTCATTTGTAATTGACAAATGAATAGAGCCTGGCTCTTAAAATCAAGGTTAGGAGATGGTAGGAAGAAGGACTTTCCAATGTAAGTAAATGTTTACATGTGAATGTTTCTTTCAATGACCAAGTCATTGATTCAATATGAGATTTTCAACAGGAAGTTGCAAATCACTCTTTTTTGCTGTTAGACAGGCATCATCTTCGTCATCAGGGGGCATTAAAAAAATTATCTCACATTTTTAAAAAATAATTATCTAATTGTATTATGTTAAATATTTTAAACTATTTAAAAAAAGCTCTTTCTTTTTCATAACAAATAATTAGTGGAACCTGAAAGTTAGATAATGGTGTTAAAAATTGATATATTTCAGCGTGTGTATTAAACTTAATTGTAAATCGACACAAGTTCTTTGATTCAAATGTACCCAAGCTCCCAATTAAGCAATTATTTTATGAATTACTTGGAGTCAAATAATTGAGATGAGTAAATTTTCTCCAATTTTTTCTTTTTTTGGACCATCTTGTTTTTCATTTTAAATTTGATTTTCTCTAGAAATGGATGAAGCTAAAGAGGTGAGATAGC